TGGCTGCCCAAGCGAAGAGCCGCATGCGGCTCCAAGTCTACCATGCAGTCCGTGGCTTCCGAGAAGGAGACGCCCAAAGAAAGGTGCTGAAGGGAGCTGGGGCTGTCTGCCACCGTCCCCCCGGCTCTGGCTGAGAGTGGGGGAGGGGACTGTTGGTCTCCTAGTCCAGGGAGGGGGGTCCCCGCATCAGCACCTGCAACAAGAGCACACGTTAGCCCTGCCTGGCTGCCCTCCGGCATGAGCCATGGGCAAGGGGAGGAGGGTGCTGCTCAGAGCATTTCTCCCCACTCATCTCCTCCTGCCCTTGGACCCGTGGGGGGAAGCACTGGTGCGCAGGCAGGGAGGGCAGCACCCTGCCACCCCCCGAGGAAGCTGGATATCTCTTGATGCAATGGCTCCGAGCACACTCCTACCCCTGCAAGGGCTCTGGGCACCGGCACAGGTCCAGCGGGCACAGGCCGGGATGCGTGCAGCCAGCTGCGGAATGACAACCGCCAGCTAAGCCCACAGCCTCCTGCTCTGCTCCAAAAGAACAGACCCCTTCAAGGGGAAGTTGCTGTCCCAGCACAGCCCAGGAGCGCAAGGGGAGAGCTGGGAAAGGGCAGCCCTGACTCAGCCAGGCAGGCACGGAAAGCAGCTTCCCACCTGCAGACTTGCTCTCCGAGAGCTCCAGCATCCTGAGGAGTCCCCTCTCCTGCCTTCCAACGTCCTGCCAAGGAGAGGAGAACTGTCGTCACAGCGCTGCCGTGAGGGAACCCCATAACCGGGGTGGCCCCGTGGCCGCGCATTCCCCCAACCCACGGGGTCAGGCTGGGCACAAGTGACAGTGCTGCATTTCCAGGCCTCCAGCTGAGCACAGCCAGCTGCCAACGGGAAGGGGACTGCCCCGTGCCCAGCCTGGCTGGTGCCCGAGCAGAGGCAGCTGAGAGCCATTAATAAAGCAGAGCCCAGTACGAAGGGAGGCCAGGGTGCAGGAAACCATCCCCAAGCCCAGCCAGTGAGCACAGGGCTGCAACAGAGAAATCTGGGCACCAGGGGCTCTGCCATGGCTTGGGCACATCCCCCAGCACCGTGCCTCTGAGGGCAGGCCCGTCCTGCTCTGTCCGAGGGCACAGGGGCTTGGTGCTGGAGGGAAGGGCCTTCCTCCAGGGCACGGCCAGACAAGGAATGCACACCTCGAGCCCCCTCTCAGCCCCTGGGAAGATGCAGCTGCACTCGTCATGCAGGCTAAGGGAAGACCACTTGGCCTGGCTGCTTTGAGCCTTGCTGGCCCAGCAAAGTCCCCTCTCTTGGCTGCTCCCTGCCCCCAGAACTGCTCTAGGAGGCACTGGCATCCCGCTGTGGGGTTGGAGCTGCAAAGCACCCCAAAATGAGCCATGGCAGGAACCCACAAGCCCAACAGTGCCACTAGGAAGCTTTCCAATGTCTCAGCCCATGCCCAGACATGACCTGCTCCCCTCGGTGAGCTGCCACCTCAGCACAAGGCACGGCCAGAGGAAACACAGAGCCTTGCCGAGCCGTCCCAAAGGGCCGCCTGGCATCCAGCACCTTTCCCCCATGCCCTGTGCCCGTGTGCAGGACCCCGCACACCAGCCGGCCGTGGGGCGCAGGGACAGAGTCAAACAGCCCCCACACAGCCGGTCACATGCAGGAACAGACGTGCCCTGCAGTACTCTGAACCACACAGCGCTTTGGCTGTATCCCAGCCAAAATCATCAACCAGAAATCTCATCATTTGCATCTGAATCCCCAAAGGGCTGAGGCCTGTGATGGATTTAAGGGATTATACGAAACTAAGACATCATGTTGCAACTTCATGCTGAGAATCACATTTCTGAGTGCAGGCAAAGCTGCAGCGCTAGGGCTTTGCCCGCAGGAACCAGCGGGAAGACCCGGAAGAACCCTCTCTGTGCTCCCCCGGGACCACCACGAGCAGGAAAAAGCACGGTGGGGGCCAACACCTGGTGAGTGACTGCAAGCCAGCTGCTACCCATGCTCCTGCCTCCCACCTCCCCTAGCAAGGCACATTCCTCACACCCGGCACACCTCCACCACACTTGCTCCCCAACATCTCTCCCGGGATGCTGTGGTTTGCTCCCGGCACCGAGTGGTTCTCCCTGCTCTGGCTCTGAAGCTTTCCCCATGGGAAAGGGCTTGTGGATAGAGTCAGATACGCTTGTCACCCTGAGACTGCCCTCCACTCCATCTACATTCAGCCGAGGAAGCCTGCAGGACTGAGTGAGGCACACTGGCAGCGGGACAGCCCTAGCTGCCTGCCTGCTGGAGGTTACTGGCAGCTCCGCTGGATTAGCTCACCCCTGGGACCGGTCCATGCTCTCGCAGAGCGTCGTGGGAAGGAGGGCAACAAGTTCTCTGGCCACGGCAGCCCACAGGGACAGGCAATGCTACACCAGGTCAGCTCATCCCGTCAACCAGGGAAAACTGCTCCTGCTGCCAACCCAGCCCCAAACCCAGCGCAAAGCAAAGGAGACGGTCTGCAGGGTCGCCCCTCACCTTGGCGCTTCGCAGCCTCCTGGTTCCCTGAGCTTGCCTAGCAGCCTGAAGGCAGCTGTCCACGTGCCTCTGATACTGCAGCAGTGGCACCAGTGACTTACAGAGGTAGCACTTCTCACACCTGCCAGGCAGCAAAGGACAGAGCACTGCATTAGGATTCGCCCTGCACCGGGCTCCCAGCCACCAGCAGTGACTTTCCTCCTCCAGGCCACGCCACGGAGAAGACATGTCACCAGATCAGGTCTCGCTCAGTGGGGTCAGGCCGGCACCAATCGCAAAGGCTGAGTGATTATCAGTTTTCCCTGCCTGTTCCTCTGTATCCTGCTGCTGCAGCAGCGGGACGGTAATCAAATCTGCTCATCTAACTATCTCAAACACCACTGATTTCTCCCCAGACATAAAGCACCCTGTCAAAATCCACAGAAATGAAGTGCGAGGGCTTTGCAAAGGGGAGTTAAATTCTGCCTGAAAGGCAAACCAAGTGTGTTAAATCAGAGAGACATTTTACCAGGGCTGGATGAACTTGTCTGACTAGTAAATCAAGTCTTTCTCTGCACTGTCTCCATTTTACATCATGCCACGTTGGGAGAGGAATGCAGAGCACATGCTCCTGCTGGGGGGCTGCCACAGCGTGTTCCTCAAACCCCCTCATTTGTGTAGAAGATGCCCGGGCTCACGCAGGACGACTTGAGTGTGCTTGGGAAGAAAATTATCCTGGGTGAAAGGAGATGAAGGTCAGGCGTGGATTTACACAGCTACACTCGCTTCCACACCAGCTCTCAGTGGGGACCGAACCATGCAGAAGAGGGCACTGGTTCTTCAGGAGGGGAGCATCCACCCGGAGAGCTATTCAGGAACGGACCATCTCCAAGGAGAGATGAGCCCCCAGGGACCAGACCCAGCAGCATTGTGTTCAGTTTGATAAGCAGTACTCTCCTAGTAAAACTCACCCCAGGCTCTAAAATGCGTATGGAGAGCCCCCATCGAGCAAAACTCTGCAGTACTTTTCCCGTATTTTCTTTCCAGTCAGTGCTGATTACCCAGATAATGTGTCTAAACAGAAGCTGTCCTCTCTATAATTAGCCTAATTCCATTAGTGATGTTGCCATCCACTGTTTGTAACAGCAAAATTGCTTCCATAGCAGGGATTTTACTGTCAGATCCTCTCTTATGATGCTTTGTGTGGGTGGCAGGAGGAGGGGCTGCATGGGAAGAGATTAAACAAAGCCACTGCTATTCTGAAAGTCTAATTTAATTAAGAATATCACTACAGGTGCCATGTTGACAGCCTCCCTGTCCTAGGCTCTTCTTTTCCTGGGGTTACCAAGCTCAAATCTCCCATTAGAAACTGGCTGAGTTAGCACCATTTTAGCTACAGCTCCCCCCACAGTGGCCAGAGACCACACATCCCTGACCCGCCATGGATTGGGCTGAAAGGAAATTAGTGCAAAAATAAACAATCTGAGAACAGCAAATTCCTCTTGCTTCAGTATAAATATAGCCAGCACTGCAACAAGAGGCACTGAGAGAAGTCAATTTCTTAGGGAAATATTGCTATGAGGCCTATGGCCAGCATTTATACAGGAATAAAGACATCCACAGGCAACCTAGAACTGAAGCACAGAAACTATCTTAGAGGAGCAAGCATACCTACTTACTTGTCAATGTCTAAGGATGCTGAGCCGCTTTCACCACTGGCAGCTTTACTTCTTGCCTCTCTCTGACGCCGGGTGAGCACTGGAGGAAAAACAAAGGGTTACCCGCCATCCACGCCAAAAGCATCCCTACACCATGTCCGAACGCAACATGTTTCAACCTCTTCCACTCAAGGCTGCAGCAGAAGTGATGGCAGAGGCAAAGAAATACTGGACTGGGACTGGCAGGGTCTTCTTTCCTGCAGAAGAGGTAGCTGGCCAACTCTCCTTTTTTTGGGGTGGAGGGGGATACTGAAGGAGTTACCTTTCCTGGACTCAGAAGCCAGCTAGCCATTTCACACTGTAACTTGTCTTCTGCCAGAAACAGCTGGATCAACAGTATGCAGTTTACAGTAATTTTAAAGCTGACGCGCAGCAGCACAACAGCCTGGGAGAAGAGTTACACAGCTGCTCCAGCAGCACAGCACCGCTCCCTGCCAAACTGAACACCTGTGTCTACTGCAGGGGAGGGAGCGTGGTAACTGCGAGCTCAGGGGGAAGGAGAGCTGAGGCAGGGGCTGTGCAGAGGCACCAGCCCTTCCACAGATGTGGTAGGAAGAGTGAGCCTTGCTGGGGAGGGATACAGTTCATGCTGGAAAGGGAAGGTTACAACAATTAGCCTACACTCGCTGCTTTTTCCACTGCCCATGTGAACCGGGGGTGACCTGTACTACTGTCCACATGCAGCTCTGTGGGGCCTCTGGATGAAGATATCTACCAGCTCTATCAGTTGTGCTGCTCTCCAGCGGCAGCAGGGAAGGGCCAGCTCCGACACACTGGGAAGCCAGGGAGATCCCGGCTGACCAGCATGCTGATGACGGGTCCAACAGTTTCTGTTCCTTCAGCAAGCCCAAGCAGCCTTTCCAAACCTGCTCTCCAGGCATCTGCAGGGAGCACATCAGAGCGTTGTCTCTTTCAGTCGAATTCCTCTCAGCGTAATCCTGTTGACATGCCACCAGCAAAGATCCTCGGGGAACATATCAGATAGCTTAGCTTGCTTCACCAGGGACGTTCAAGACTCCAGCTCCAAAACAGATGTCACAGTAAGCACACTCAGGCAAGCTGGCTAAGGGGACAATGCAGGGAGCTGTTTTACAGCCCGGTAACATTGCTTCCCATACTCTCTTTAGGAGAAAGGCCTGAATCCAAGGTACAGGCACAACAAACCTGTTGTTGTTGGCACATCATCTGTGATAAAGAAAGGGACGCACAAAATTTTGTGCAGAACAGAGGGAATCCTTCAGAGTTTTAGCAAAACACCATTTCCAGAGTGTTAGGCAACCCCAATATCTATCCACGATGCTGATACAACACAGCCTTTCCCTTTAGTAGCAATCGCCAATCTGCAGCCATGACAAGCAAATGCACTGCGAGATGCTCAGGAGCTGTTGGGGCTGACAGGAGACATCCATGCTGAAGAAACAAGCCAGAGCGTTTCCTAGGATGTGGCTATTGTCTCGTAGGCAATGACTGATACCAACAGCTCATTTCTCACAGGCACCGAAGTGGATGTCTCTCTTTAACTTAGCCTGGCTCAGATTCGAAGTGGCAGCCTGACGAGGAGGACTGATAACCACGGCCACCCTCCAGGCCACCCAGCCTCCCAAAAACCCAACAAACACATGCGTTTGACAGCGCGGTGAAAGCTGCTCTCCAAATCAGCGTGCACTCGTTAATATTCCTTTAACACCGTCTCGGGAGCCTCGTGCACCAGCTCAGGTGTTAATCAGTTCTATTTTCTTCCAAAAGCAGTGAACACATCTGGCATAATGGGCCCATTAGAGATGTCTGGGACCAGCTCTGCAGCTGCCCAGGGGAAGACCCCCAGCTGTGCTGCTGGAAGCAGAGGCACAGGAGAGAGAATGGGGCCAGCTGGCGAGGCACAACCCCTGCCAAAACACACCGGCCGCCCCAGGAAGGGACTTCAGAATACGGGAAAACACTTGCCATGGGGAAAATCCCCACCACAGAGCAGTGCTGACCCACTGCGTGACAGGAGCCTTGTAACTCTCCCAGACGCGATGCTCTTCGCTGGGTCAGACACACTCTGCAGCCCGAGAACAACCTTTTCCCTGGCTCGGCATTTCTTCTGCTTGACAAGTCATCCTTGGCCTGCTTGGCTCCAGCTCGCACCCTGGGGAAGAGGAGCAAACCCTCCCCAGCACGGCCCCGCTGTTAGCACGCCCACCCCAGGCACCTCCTGGGGCTGCCAAGTCAGGTCGGCACACGGAGCTGCGAGGCCGCAGTCACCAAGCTCCTCACCTCGCTGCACGACCCACCCACAGTTCGACCCACCAGCTTCCTCCCCATTCTCACTACCAGCCGTACCACTTTTTGTGCAGGATCCTACCACTGGCAGGCTCGCCAGCATCTTGTCCTTTCTCAAGAAGTGATGAAGCTTTCCTCTGCACCCATCCTGTTACTCTTTCTGCTGTATCAGTGCCAATTCTGTTGATGCGAGGAGCTTTTTAACAGCACCAGTGCTGCTGCTGAAGACTGACAGCTGCATCAGGTTGCATCTGAGGCTTTGGGAGGAAGGGATGTACCAAAGCCTCATTTTCCTGGGCTCACTGGGAACTGAGAGGTTGGGAGCATGTAGATGGACGGAAAGAGGAATAGAGTATGTCCCAAAGCTCGACTACTTGCTGTACTCAGTAGCGGCCAAGACTCGCTTCCAGACTGAGACCAGCAGATTCCTGAGTTGGCAGCAGCAGCGGGTGATGGATGCAGCAACTCCAGCAGAGAGCCCCTCTCACACAAGCAAGCCCTTCAGCCGAGCGCATGAAGGAAGAGGGAGCTGGCACAGCATTTCCACGGCTCCACTTGTTCACTTGGAATTAACAACAGCTACTGAGCTGGAAACCCAGGACCTGAACCTTCCCCAGCCTGGTACAGTAGCTAACGCAACAGCAGGCTCTTCTTTTTTATTTACTCAGACCACAGGAAAATGGAAATTCATGATCAGATTTTCATACTGCCCAGGTATGTGGTGGCCTGGGCATCCAGCCAGGGCAACCATGTACATATGTAGGGAACG